CGCCGAATGCAAAGCATTTTCATACAAAGTAATACGTCGTCGCATCGGTATTGGATTGCGTCAGCTTGCATCCACTAGGACCCGCACTGGAATCAGCTCTTGCCGGTTCCCTCGCTCCGTTCAATACGTCAGCTATACGATAAATACTTAAAGAGCTCCGCATTTCTTATTTGTCAATGAGCCTAAATTGCCTTTACATGTAGTAGAGCCAAATTTGTAAGCTGGTACGATGTGCCAGAAAAAGCGAATGTTTTTACGGTGTGAACATAGCTGTGGCCGTATGTGCTACTATTATTAATTAAAATGAAAGATTCAAGTACAATTGAAGTGCAAGCTGGGTTCGATGAATTAAAAGCATATAGTCGTTATACCTAGATAAACTATTGAGCTTTCCCATATCTATTTTAGGTATTACAGAACCTTATCTCTTTCCTAACCCTAAGCCAATTCCATTACCCATCTATAGCGTCCATGATCTTCCAAGCTTTATTTTAATTTATCTAAGTTTTTTGAAAAGAGTCACCTATATATATATCTCTCAATAAGGAATTATTTCAAAGCATGAACCAATGAACCAAGAGCAGCTCAGGATATTTAGCTGTCCATCGCTTTGTGGATGCCTTTTTTGCTTCTTTGTGTCTTCAAAAACGCTACTGTATACCTATAAAACAAAGCCTACGTGTCTGTTTTATATTCTCCTTAGCCTGAATAGTTACCCTTTCTAGTATACTAGAACGAAATCATATTCCGCCAAAGTGCAAAAACAAACTCTATATTTTGGTTATTTGCCTCTTATGTAGATATACACTCGCCGTTTATCTGTATTCTTTTTTTTTTTTTTTTTATAGACTTGGATACTTCTTCTCTTGCAAATATTACTTTTGTTCAAAAAAGCACTGAATTTATTCAATTTCGCACACCAATCCTGCTGTTATTTTTATTGATTTTGAATAGGTTTAGGCATGACGTTACAAAGTCTTATTTTTAGTATTATTTCAAATCGCTAAGCCAGTGTGACGTTGGTAATTTCTATTTAAAATAAAATATTTACTGTTATATTGTCATTCAGCCACTGTAAATCTACAAAACAATTTGCCTGTTATTGTATATAGATACCAATACCAGTTTAAAGAACTTGCAAGGATAGATATGTACTTTAAATAATATATTGCTATGACTGGTTCTTATTCCAAGGAGGGCATGTGAAACGCAGCTTGCTTTTATATTGGTAACTTATCTGTTAAGCTAAAATAGGTCCAACACTTTGTCGATAATCCTGGCAAGTTCAAGAGTTATTTTGGTTCTACATCTATTATTATCTGAATTTGATAAAAACATCGAGCAATAACGTACCACACCTGTCTTGTAGAGTAAATAAAAAACACAATACACTCAGATTTTGGAACTTAGACTTAAAACACACATTAACAGACTGTGGTACTACACGGCGGACGAAAAAGGAACCAAAGCCAAATGTTTATACTTACTTAATTTCTTTTAGTGGCTAGCTGGCATTCTTACAATACTTAGCTACTAAAATTGTTGTTGGAGGGACGTGGTCATTAAGATAATAATTTTTTAACTTGACTATTTATTGGTATAATCACAAACTACAAAATTAGTTTCGTGCTGGAATCTTACGCCTTGGCTTGCCTTGGAGAACTGATATGACCCACTTAATAGAGGCACACAACTAATCGTGTATTTATGAAATCACTTTGATTTCCGAGATTATTCCTTCGAGAGCAAGGTAGGTATCCGACATGGGAAATGTTAACCCAATTGCGAAAATGAATATCTCTAAATACGTTAATCGGACAAAAACGTAAAAAGAGCAGAAGATACAGTGACAACTGCACACTGTGACACTAATCTCGCTATTCGACTGCTAAAAGAAACGCTAGCTAACTATAATTATCCAAATCGAAACGTTTAACTTAGCAGGACATCATTATAGGCGGTTTTCAAGGTTAATTAATTAGCTCATACACACTCTGATGCTTGAGCATGCTACGTGCGTTACAGAGCACATGAAAGCCTACATATAAAATCCTTAACAAAAACCTTCTGCGTAATCACAACTGTGAAGGTAGAGGCTTAGGTAAATACTACTTTCTCGATTACACTAAGATTTTTCTTCCAGTAACCAAGTTTCTCTGGTTTTAACTACAACTGTTAAATAGAAGGCTACATTTTTAGAACCGAAGGACTATGTCTTTATCAACTCTGTCCAAACTCTGAATTTGTCTTTGTCAACCAGTTTTAAAATTGGCTCGCGGAAGGTCATTGGGCTGAAAACTGCTGCATTCCAACTAGTCCACATGTTAGCTTATTCCTAAAACCCGAAATTCATGCAAAAGTGACACTTAGTCTAATTAGAGTGACACGATTTAGCAACATGTATAAGGCATGTGTCGCTTCCCTGACCAGTAGAGGGCCTGTCATTTAAAAACCTGCGTTTCCATTGTAAGAAGCCTACCAGTCGCTGCCTAAAGTAAGATCAAACTGCTCTATTTGGTATCATCAAAAGTTCGATTAAGTTAAAGTAACGCTAAGGCAGACAGTGGTGACGAAGACAAGTAACTTTTCTTTTATAGGCCTCTAATTAGAGCTTGGTAAGCTATTTCGTTTATCTGAGGCGCAACTATGCTCGACAGCAACGAACAATAGATCCGTGAACTGCCTGACACCGAGCTAACTTAAAGTACCGTTGCGCTCAAAGTGTAGTATTTTTGAGACGCATTAATAAAGCGTAATTATTGACATACATCGCCAACTTGGTGAAATGTAGTGTTCTACAATACGCTCGGTCATACGGGCTGGCCAAAAAGAGCCACATATTTAAATCTGAATAAAATCATATCATTGAAAACGTAATAAACGGCCTCGCGTGACAACCGACATCATCGTGTGCGTCCAAGCATAGTCCAGCTATGCTATGCGTGTTCATAAACGTGTTGACACATTTGTTTCTTGGCCCCATTTTCATAAAAAATATCGAAACCTAGACCGCTTTAACGTTTCACTAAACGCAGTGCCATTTTGATGATACTCAACGAAATTAAAATGCTCAAGATGATATGATTTCTCTAATAACAAGAAAAATAGTGTTACTCAACGGACTGGTCGTAATAACTCTGCTTACGAAAAAAATGAAGACACACAATCCGATATTGTAGATTAAAACAAAAATTACAACAAAATAATCCTTTCACTCAAACTTACACCAATTCTAATCTGTCTCTAGAGTAATCTTTTTTTTTTTTTATTATTATTATAAATAATTGACCAAACCGTTTAGCATTAGGTAACAGACGATAATGATATTGTATATACCTATCGTTGATGCAACATATTTCTTTGTTGCTTAGTACGGAGCAAAAAGTTTAAAACAGTATTGTTTGAAACATGATTTAAATGTGGCAATGTAAAATTTTAATTATCCTTTAGGTGTTAACTATAGTACATAAAAGAATAATTTCTCATCGATGATATATGGTGTTTTTTCTATTAGTTTCAACAATACCAAATATCAATGATATTGGAAACGCTGAAGGCGCCTCTGAGACTGAAACTTAATTGCAGCTCTTTTGTGCCCTCGAAACTTGCTTAAGTAAGGAGCCACTACGAGTAGAAATCCGCAGCTACAAACTCGACTACATCTCGAAAGAAAAGAGGATTCGAGGAGCTACTGAAAAGCAACTGACATAGAGGTATGATGTCCTCGTAACATCGATTTTCTGCCAGGCACATGCCGTCAAGCTATACACAGACAATGTTTTCTTTCATTCCTGTTATCACCTCCCGCATTTCCATTCGCCACTTCGAAGCTATCAAGAGGCCATAACCAACCACAAAGTATGACCGAAGCGTCGTAAGGCGATGCACAGCGGGGCCCATAATGGGGAGCATGCATGTGAGAGCGCCGACGATGATTCTCCATCGTGGCAAGCGTTGGATCTCGTTGACAGGCCACTACACACGAGAAGCACTTCAGCAAGGCTAACCAAAAGATGTCGGTTACTGCTGTAGGGAACCCTTTTATACATGACCGTGATCTATGTGTGGGGGAATGACCTTGCTTCTGATCCCTCAAGATGCCCTATTTTGCGCCTGCTTGCAGCAACCTGCTTTTGCGGTTGTCCTAGCGTGCCTGTATCATTGTTCTTTTCCTTCTATACCCCTTCTTCGCTCGGAGTCTTATCTCGCCAAATCCGCTTGCTGTTTTTTTGCCTTGCTCTTACTGTTTCTGTCGCTCTCTCTCTTGCTGTCTCTCTTAAGGAGGCGGTGACAGCTCATGCCAGATGATGGCCAACCAATTGAAAGGCCAAGCTTAGGGACAACCATCACCGGCGCCAGCAGTGCTGGCAGCACTACGAATAAAAGTAAAAAGAAAAAGACAATACGATTCTGGTACGTGATGCCACTCTACACGCTCACCCCGTTAGTGCTGTGCGTGGGCATGCATCGGCTTAACAGTGGTTGGCTGATCGACAGCAACGACCACGGGACACCTTGTGCATACATACGTTGCTGTGGTACGGTGGTGCAGCTTAACGCGTGGCATGGACGGGACGAGAGGATACGCAAAACGAGGCAAAAAAAAAGCAAGCGAAGAGAAGAACCTAAACGTGTGACCGACGATAAAAACGAAACAAGCAGGTCCTTATAGGGGAAAAAAAGAAAGAAAGATGCAAGCAGAAACGGAAGCGGGACTTCTGGTGGGTGCGGAGGAGGGCGCAACGTCGAGAGAGGGTGGCGAGGTAAAAAACGGCAAGAACAGCGCCACCCTGCGCGGCAATACGTCGACTTACCAAGGGGCGTGGGACAGAAGTGGGAAACGGGCAGGCAAACTCGACGCACAAAAGGGGACGCCCCGCCTACCTTGAGCAAGCACCTGCAGCGCCCCCTAGGAGGCACTCGCGGAGTGAAGACACAGACGAGCGCGGAATCGTCACACGTGTGTGGGAAGTCGTGGAGTGAGTGAGTGCTGTCAAAGGTGCATTTATACAGGCTATACGTACCGATAGGCTGTATTAACCTTGCCATATTGACAAGGCCGGACAGCCTATCTATCCTTTAGGTTTTTAGTTAACGTGCTGCTGGGTGTGTTGGTTGGTCAGTCAGTCAGCCAGCGCGACGTCAGACCACGACGGCAACGACATGTGTGACGTCACATGATCAGGCAATTGCCTAATCATTGCGCGTAATGCAATGGCAAGACAACAGGACAGTACAACGCTAGCAACAGAGTAATCGACAACGACATATCACATGTGTGCTTTGAGTACATATCAGTGCGTGAATATTTTATATATTATCTCTACTGTAACTGCAAGTTCTGCAACTGCTAATACGAATACTACTATTGTTACTGCTACTCCTGTCATTACCAAGTAACAAAAGGGAGGAGTTCGAAATGAAGTTTAATGATAAAGAGTGCCTGCAAAAAGTGTGAGGCTAATAGTACAAAAGTACCGGTTTACTATCAATCGCTATCTTCGTTCTACAGTCTTCCATGCGACGACAGATGGACATTTCGTTTGTGGGATTATCGTAATATAATTTCACTCGGCTTTTAGTACTAGACATTTGCTTGGATAGATACGAGAAGACGGAGTCTGAATTGATAGAAACCAGGAAACGTAAAGGTTGCGAAACTTTACCACTAGTTCCCGGCGACACAGAGTCGCTTACTTTCTTTATCCTATATACACTCACGAAAGCTGGTTGAAATCTCTTCCCCCGGAGATCGAAGGAGCTTCATTTCGAGTACTTAGAAACTCCTAACCACAGTAAAGCACTAAGCTGTAACGGTCTCGAATAGCCAACCCCCATGGCAGAGCGAGGATGCATAATACAGTCCACTTCCCCAACTATCTAATAGGCAGTCAAAGTTAGAACACATCAGTTTCCATTTTTGACATCGACTTCCTATCGTGGAGTCGAAAAGGTAACGCCCGAGGTATATTATAGAAACAAATGCCTCTGGATACATTAGAAAGGTCATATCAATCAGCCCCTCTTGGAAGCTCCACATTGTTATCAAAAAGAATAAGATAATAATATAACATTAAGCTGGTCGTTATTTATCACGTAAAGATATTTCTGTCCGTACGAAACAAGGCACTTAGTTGACAACTTAGCATCGTATATAAGTGAAACGTCAGCGACAGCCATAATTGCTGTCAGTTTTAAGCCTACCATCTCGGAGGGCAAGATATAATTTCTCCTTCGTGCAATTTCGATCGTTGCGTTCTGTCGTCGCTTCAGTTCCGCAGTAACTTCAATATTAAGCAATTTAGGACAACACTAAAGTAGGATTACTGATATCGAAATCCTGCATGATATAATTGTCTGTTCCGCGTCCGATCCTCGATCCAGCTGGCTGGTTAGAGCTAACGAGATCTCGATCAACTGCGCATCTCCAGCTTCGACGCGATATCTTCTCAAGACACAAGCCGCTAATCGCCGAATGTATTTACTCGCTGTGCTGGTGTTGTTGAGTTGTTGTTAGATGTATAATCTTAGCCAGTCATCGGTATTGTTTGAAATCTTGTGCTAGCACCACGATCAAGAACGTCAAGAACTTGGCCCAACCAATCGGACAACAAACCCATCTTTTAAATAAGACAAATCGGCCCTTTGTACATCTTATTAGTGCAACAGGATCTAACCATTACTACGCGCATATTGTGGGCACGGGCGAATAAGGAAAGTAGACTCGCTATCTCTTCCACCAAGCTTCACTCAAAGCCATCATGATGATGATGAGACGCAATCAAGGCAGCGGCGGAGGTGCCATGTACCAGGCTGGTGGATATTCGGTTGAAGCCCACCTGGTAGCACATCCACCTGAATTGGATCCTCTGTCTCCGGGGGGTCCATCCGAAAAGCCCCTCGCAGGCTGCCTGGCGGGCGAGCGGCGCACTGGAATCATCATCGCCATGGGTGTAGTCGCCACCGCCCTATTTTGCTGCTGTGTTGCGGGAGCCATCCTCTACGTATACTGTAAGTTTACCCTCTCATAACAAAATTACAAAAGAAACTTGCGGATCAAATTGAGAATAATTTAGGTTTTTGTTTGTAGGTTAGTAGGATATTGATAACGCTGTAAAAAGTGCTGCTAAAGCGCGATGCTGTACACGCATCACATTCAAATAAAAAAAAAAAGTACATCTTATTAGTACAACAGGATCTAACCATTACTACGCGCATATTGTGCAAGCAAACTATACTAAAATTATACGCTTTTAAAACTACTTCCATTATGAGATGTGCGTACGTCGTCCTTAGAAAAGTGTTCGGTTTAAGCTGAAGGCAACGTTTCGGATCGACGAAGCAATCCGTAGTATACTTTATTTTTTTTTAAGTACATAATTTATAATCTTTAGCATATTTAAGAAGACATTTGGATCCATAGCAAAACTCTTTATAGGATGCTATCATCGAATTAATGAGATAAAGGTTTTCTTTAATTAGCTTATATTCTAATACATTCTATGATCTTTTCCCATAACTAGAGTTGCCATTGAATAATGGCCACAGATGCAATTCATCTCAAAAGCAAGAAGGCTACGAACTTATAAAAAATGACTCGAGTGGCTTTCCTCGCCGTAAATGGGGTCAGATTATATGAGCACTCGTTGTGCCCTTCCACTGCGTTAACACAGCAAGGGGACTTCGTTTCAGTCGCCAACCCTCTTGGCTCACAGTTTGAGCTCACAACTACTTTGCAAATTTTAAAAATGTTCAATTTAATTAATGGCGAGATCATTTAAATTCACTTAGTACTCGACATTAATATACCTTTGGCGGCAGTATGCGATTTTTATAAAGAAAAGAGAGGTATTTCATTCATACCCACAATGGCAAAAATTTTCTAAAAATGAGAGCGCATAACAATCCTTTACCGCCACAATATTGTCCGCGAAGTATCGAAGTAATATAAAAGTAAGTGGGCTTTTATTCCGTCAAATATTACTGCATTTTTTCATGATCGTAATGTCCACTGTATTTGCAATAATTCAGGTGAGTCACGGTGCTAATTTTAGAGAGAAAACCGGCCGGCCTGCACGATTTGAATATGGATTTGAGGATAATATTCGCTTTCCGCGTTTTCAAGGATAAGAAATGTCAATGCTTATAGAGGTAATGTCCCTAGGGCGTTCTACTTGCTTTCGAATAAATCTCCCAACCCTTCAGTACTGCAACTTCGGCTTTAACAATTATACTGTAGGCTACATTGCTTCAATACATTAATATGTAGTATGGTTATATGGTGATGCTCGAACACTTCTTTACTTTTGGAAAACGTTCCTCTGTCACGGAAAGTTAGGCTGGACATGTACGCGCGTATCCATATATCTAGCATCTATATGAAAACGATGAAGAGACTTGGACTCGTTCAAACATCCTTTAATAGCTAAATCACGAGTAAACGTGTATCAGCCACTTCGTATCGAATTTTTTTTATTACCACGGAGTAAAAGCAAATGAAGTCAACAACGAAAATTCCTCTTTTATCGAAGCTGCGAATGATAAAAAAAAAGGCGGGAAAACTCAGCAGAAACGTAACTTGTGCTCTTCGTGTCCATGCCCGCTGTTACTGCTGCTGACGTGCTGTACCGGACTGTTCGATGAGTTTCATCGTCAACCCCTGATGGTAATGTTGATGGTGATATTAAGACTGTGCAGCGGCAAAAGCGGAAGTGCTAACTGCAGCAACGAGCAGTGTTGTTCTAATGATGGGTGTGCGGAACAGAACAGAGGCTCGGGATTTTTCGGTGGCCTGTGCCTTTAAGGTAATGCACAGCCAATAGAGCCACAAGAAGAAGAATGAGCGGGTCAGCTGCTGTATGTGTGTGCATGTGAAAAGAAAGCGTCGCCGCAGCAACCATTGCTGCTGCCGACCCGTTGTCGTCGTAATATAATCTGATAATTGGGGGGTGAAAATGAGGGGTACGAATGTGTGTGAGACCGCTGCTGCCACCATTATAGCCGAGCTTAATGAAAATCGAGTTGGCTGCTGTCAAGCTGATGAAGGGGAGAAAGGTGAACGGACTCTACTACAAACCAGGTATACCTATGCTTCCCAACAAACGCACACGTCTATATATATATATATATATAGGACGAGTTAGCTGAACAAAAAAAGGTCGTCCAGGCTGTTCCCGTGCCGCCTAGTCAAAACTACCACTTTTGTTGTCACAGCTATCACTCGAGTTACCATTCAAAGGTTAGACGAAGGTGACGGAGCGGTACCACCTCCTTACGAGACATTGGCAAGCGTTAGAATATGGCTGTAATTAGTATTGCAAAAGATATAGTATTTCATGACGCAGTTCATTTTGTTGGTAGCGCAGTATTCGCTCTTCCCTATATCGAACTGTGCAATCTTGCACTAACGATTTAAAAACGAACACTGTAGATTAGAATCGTGCAGCCACAGGTGTACCATAACATTACCTTCACATTTATGCGGCATTTAAGCGAACTGCGAGAGTTTGCCCGAGATACCCGTAATTTTCTTTGTTGGGATGGTCATAATCAAATTGGGCATTTAAGCTGTTCAAGAATTTCAATTTTCTAACTTGTTCGAAGTTAGAAGGATGGATTTACAGCGCATTCAGGTCTCTGACTGTTTTAATATTACTCGGTCCGATTCGCTTTGAGCAGGAGGATGATTAGAAGTGGCAAAAAAAGTTTTGCGGGTCCATATGGAAAGCGCAATTGAGAACGCTTATTCACATAATGCTCGTGATAAGGTTCATGGTATCCGGTAAACGTGAAGAAAGACGTAAAGACCGTTTTTCCAATAGATCTACTTCCATATGTTATTAGTTCAAGGAATGTGCAAAGCTCTCCCTGCGCTGGTCTGTATAAATAATTGAATTCGTAACCCGTTCATAAACTGCTTTGAAGTGGTTTGACGAATAAAAAGAGCAAGAAAATCTGTTCAGCTAACAGCTTTGCCTGCGGCTGAGTTAAAGGTCCTGGATGTCCACAAGGCTGCAGCTGGAAGTTGCGTTAGTTTGGTTGAGATGGTATGAAGACAGTTTTTATATTTTGGTCTAATCGGGTACTACTCCCTGGATACCCAAAAAGTTGGCCTTATTTGGCACCTTTATGCAGCTCTAAATTTTTGTCTATTAACTGGCTGGGAGAAGCCCAGATGTGCCGGCTCTTACGGCCTGATAGTCAGCAAACTCTTTATTTTTTAGTTCCAAGCTTATCACGTCTGTGCATTTCATTATTTAGTGGGGGTCCTTTGGGGTTGGATTTGAAGAAAAGCGAAGCTGGTAGTTCAATTCTTAGAGCACCTAAAAAGGAAAAAGAGGGTTACTTCAACTGACCATCGTTATGTCTCCGTGTGGATTCGTGTAGTTAACGGTTACGGTAGGCTAGACTTAGTCCACATCAGCAAGACACCTTAATGCGAAAATACCGCCACTTATTTCGATGTGCGGACGATTTCTGCAGTGTGAAACTTTGCTCTCGCCTTTTTTACATGGAACTTCTGTAGTCATAAACTTTAGCAACGTATACTTTGAACAAAACAGTGAAAAAGTGTCGACTTTTTTTGGCACTACAAAATTGACGCAGTTATATCGCAAGTATAGATTATCTATGTAAATGGGCACAACTCAAAGTGAGAACACTGGGCTACGTAAAAGCATGAACGATGTTGCGTCTATATCTGTCGATATCGATGTCATTATACATTAGCCATAGCATGCGGTATTTAGTGATTCCACGCTTGTTCCCATGTGCTGCAATGTGTTGTTTAAGTGTTCCCGACCAGATTATTTGGGTACGAAGTAAGTGCAAACACGAATATTTGTCTGTCACTGAGAGCCTATCCGTGTATGGAGAGTGTACCTTGCTAACGAGGCTTTAATTCTGCTTCACAGTCCATTACACCGCGGCAGCAGAGGGAGAGCAGGCCACAACCCTCAGTTGCTCACAGTTCGCCGCTTCAACGGGAAGGGCCAAGAGGCGTAGGACGGAGCATGTGAGGAAAGTTGCCTTAAGGAGTTCTTTTTAGCACATTTTCTTCCAAAGGCTCCACAATATTCACTTTTTGGCTATGTTGCAGAAATGTCACTTTGGGCATGGCGTAATGGGTACCAATGGATATGCCATTGCTAGCGTGAACTATCTGTATCGTAGACGACCGGATAACGAAGTAATGGCATTTGATAAATATATTATATAAATATCTTTCCACGTTGTTTCTACAAATTTAGCGATAAGGCTGATTCCGGTTACTCCAATCACAGTACCTTTAGGCGAAAGATGTTTCGTATGAACGCTCTTGCAACTGTTGTCATCCAATTGTTATATTATAATAGTAGTATTGGAAGTTCATCTTTTTGCAAAAAAGATTTTAGATGCCGTGCCTATAAGGCTTAGTGGTTTATTCGAATATTCCATAAAAATACCCACGGGTAGAAAACTCGTAGAAAGCCCTCTAAAAGCTAGGGAAAACAACGTATTTTTAGCCCGGAATAAATTCACGCACTAAAACGCCTTTCGAAATCAAAGCTATAATAGTAATTGTTACCATAATTATAATAATCTCAACAAAAAATCTTTTCAAGCTTCCTCAATCGATTCGGGAAACTGGCCTATTTTCTTATATTAGCTTACTCGATATATAATTGCGTATAACGGCGGTAGTTTTTCCATCATCCGAATAACTATGTTCGAAAATTGCGTAGCTAAACGTCCTCATTGTAACTTTTCTATATGTTAGAACATCAGGCTAGATTATCGGATGGGTATCTCGAATTTAATTTTAGGTAATTTGTCGTTTCGACCACGGCCCATAAGAAGGAGCGTTAAGAGATATTCTCTCAGCTCGCAGATTAGCATTGGAGACCCTCTATGGCAGCAATCGGAATAGCATTCATTCTGTATTATAGGCAGAAAAACAGACAAGGTAACATTGGGAATGAGTATGGAGACACCAACCACAACAATGTGTGTAGTAAGGACGGAAGCGAGTG